TCACTCTTATAATACACCCATAGCTTAAAGTTTCTCTCTAACAAACATAATCCAGGACTCTACCACAGGGTCAACCTTAATCAGGCCCTTAGCGAAGTCCCACACGTGACTTAAATGACTATCCGCCTTCCCTCTAAAGATGGCGGATTGTTATTTTTACCGTTTGAGAAATTATGATGTCACGTTAATAGTGATTGAAATCAACTCTTTTTTTTTTTCGTGTGGTTCATTTTATCCGAACTTTTAGCTGCTTCACTGGGTAATGTGTTTGTAACCGTGTTTCCATCTGGATCTGAACACGTGGATTTAGAGGGGAAACGGTCACAGAAAGGAGAATTCTGTATAATCATCATTAACTTCTGATCAAATCAAACTATCTATATATATATATCACATCAAAACATCAACCTGGTGATGACTCTAGCTAATTTGGTATATTGTTCTAACATTCTTGATTATATTGCTCAAAATGTATTTTTGCGTCATCAGTTGGACATCGTCGTTGTTACCGATAGTTTTGTTCATTATCTTAATGGTTTCCAAGAACTCCACAACTAGCGCGTGAGAACCACGCGTATAATCTTTCTGTTACATAACGTTTCCTTTTAGACGAGCAGTGTGATAGCGAAGAATCTGGAAAAACTAGACTTGGAGTTCATTAGAAAGGACTGCACGTGAACACGAACAGCGAATGGGATGTAGCGTTGGTTGTTATTGTAAACATCATTTAAAAGTTTGTAAAAATGTGTTACGCGATGCAAAAATTGTATTTTGCTACGTCTGTGTTTTCAGCTCTGAATTAAAACGTGTATTTTAAATGTGACGCATGAATTTAACAGCGAATAGTAACGACTCGATCTTATATCAAACACACACACACACACACACAAGTTATAGGTTCTCTTGATAGCTTAAAAGGTTGTTGACTCAATCTGAGAAACGTCATAAATTCATAAGTCGTAACTGATTCAATATGTTGAAGTAATTTAATGAAAAAGTAACGTTTGCCAGGGTCGTTAACCTAGCTGTGTTAACACGAATAATTGAACAAATTTCTTCACGTGAGTCTGTTTTATGAAGTTCCTCCACGAATATTCGGCAGTGTAACAAGACATACCTGTTCCTCCCCCCCCCCAAACCTGATGAATTATCAGGTAATTTACTGTTTTCTGATTTAGAGAAGAAGAAAAAAAACGAAATGAATACATGACCGAGTGAATACAAGAACCTTCTTTTTTAACATTTTCAAAAGGGTAATGACACCTTTAACGATATTATTTACATCTATTTGAATATATATGTGTCTAGTTTTTTACTTCTATGAATATAGTATTTATAGCACACAATATAAATAAAAAATCTGAACGATAAATTATGGTAATTTAAACCGTTATTCATCTCATTGGCCATTGTCATAGAAAATATTCCACTTTATCACTCTTATCAGTAACTAATATTTATCACACTGGCAGCTGGGATGGAATATAATCGGGTTTCGATGCTCGTAATAGGCAGAGCACAGATAATCCATTGTGTAGCTTCAAGCTCAACAACAGTCTACAGTATGCCACGTCTATTATACAGCCACCAGATGACGCTAAGAGACGAATGGAATTACAATATTAATGGATATTAGATAGTTATATGATATTTTACTTACTTGATATTTCAGTGATTCTTCTTTTTTTCTGTAGGTCATCATATCTTAAACGTTTTGGCGAACATTATTATTTATTAAATTAACCCTTTTCTGATGATGAATGACTTTTAAGGTCAACCATAATTAACATATGAAGACCATTGTGGTAAGTTAAATTATTGTGTCTCTCGTGTAGGGGATTTGAATCCTGGACCACTACAAAAAATGTTCTACCGGTCAAGCTAAAGCTCTAAACCATTAGTACTCATCATACTACATTCTTCCCTTCTCACAAACGAGGTCTGTCCCCAAACCTTTTCTTAAGATCATAGAATAGTTTGATGTAGGGCGCCAGTTTTCGCAAGTGTTTCAGTGCTTATCATATCTCGAATATATTCTTACGAATACCATAAAACCCATACTTATACATATTTTCAATTATGTATTTATATGTTTCGAGAGTGAAAGGCTTAAACTCACGTACTGACTAATTAATATTTCCATCCTTGATACCCATCAAAAGGAAATGGTGTTTCGCGAATTTCTTAACTTAAATCCTTTTTTATTTTTAAAATAATTCTGTTAATTTTCATGGGTACTTCAGATTGAATCGATAAAAAAATAAAGCAATTTATTATTCGATAAATATTAAGGAAAAAACTGGTTTCAATCACATGATTCATTTCCATTTTTCCACCTCACTCCCGATAAATCTTCCTCGTCGGTAACCCAAATGATAAAGCTGAGAATCATAAGAACAATTAGACACTAATATATATTAGATATTATTTTTCCTGAAAAAACAAAACAAACTTATCCAGCTCTTATTTCCATCACATTTTTTTTCTTCAAGTAACGTCAGTATGACATCAGTAAACATGATGTTCATTATAAGGGCTGTACAAGCTCTGAAACTTCAGCTGTAACTTGGAGAGGGGGGGGGGTATATCTGTGATAGTTAATCCATCTGTTTAGCTACTGGTAGCTGTATAATACAGAGCAAATGCTGTTAACTGGTGGTCCTCCGTCTGGATAACTACTCTCGAACCTTGGGGTCTCTGCTCTGGACGTTTAGCCTATGTGTCTTAAAAGGCCTTAAAGCTTGAAAATACCAATATTAAATCTGCGCACAAAAGTATTCATCAAAACTACGCATGTTTTGCACAGGGCGTTGTCATAGCATCATTTAGGTTCATTTATAGATTGTTATCCCTCCTATTACGTATCACTGTTTGATCAAATATTGTCGACATATCTGAACATCGAATTCAGTAATTTCTCACAGAATTTTCCAGTGAGATAGCCTGTAAGCCACAAATCAGTAATAATAACATTTTGTGCTGGCTCAGTAATTATATCAGATCTGTGTTTGTTTTAGGTGTGGGAATATATATATATATATACAGATCTCGTGGATACAACATACCACAAAGACAAAGACACGAAAGACATTTTCAACCAGATCAGCTCCTTGTGCACACGTAGGTTAATAGGCCACGTTATAAACTTTCGACTTACTTCATATATAGATAATCCAAACTTCATCTGCTGTCTAACTAAAGGACAATCAGTCAGCAGCACCAGCCGCCACAAAGGCCTTGTCTGACTCCTTGAGCTGATTAGTGGAATTGACTGTCACTTTTATAATGCGTTCATGTGTTCAGTAATATATATATATCACGTCTGGACCTTCGCCCCCCCAGTGACACAGCAGTATGTCTGCGGGCTTACAACGCTAGAAACCGGGTTTCG